TATAAAATATACAGTAGTTATACAATCCAATCCAATTACTTTCTCCTTTTATCCCACTACTGCACTATTTAAGCTGTTCTGCAATTTTCATTTTGAGAAAGAGTTGAGTCCTCTTCTTCAGCTAACAAGTAGCAATTGTTACTATTTTTTACCAATGCTTCCATTTTTACCTTCATAATTTAAATCGTTGGGAAGATTGACTGACGGATGTTTTTTTGTCTCTCTGCTCTCCTCTCTTTGTCATCCCACATCCCTGCTCTCTCTACTTTCATCTCTGTCTCCCTCCCTTCCAAAATCCTCTTGTCCTTCATCTCTGTTTCTCCCTTGCGCAATAATCTTCTCTACCTTTATCTCTCTCCCTCCTTCCCCTCTGCAATCCTCGTCTCTCTGCCATCACCTCTCTATCCTTCCTGCAATCCTCCTCTCTCTACTTTTGGCTCTGTCCCTCCCCAAATCATTTTCTCTCTTTCATCTTGTCTTCTCTCAATCCTCATCTGTTTTTTTCCTCCCTTCCACACCTCTTTGGCTGCCCATCCCCCTTCCATCTTTCCAATCACTCATTTCCTGCCCCCCCCCCATCCATCCATCTTTCTATCTGTCCTCCAAACATATTTTTACTCTCTCTTTGCTTCATGCACTTCCCATCCTCTCTCCATCACCACATTCAATTTCTCCTCTTTCTCTTTCCATCCAACCCCTCTTTCACTCAGCTATCTGTGGTCTGTGCTGCGATGTTGATCCTGGACGTTTTGTCCCCGCTGCTCCTCTTCTCCATCCTGTTGCCGAGCTACGGTTGCTGGGCGGCGGACATTCCGGAGGACACTACATCAGAGTTCTCGGTCAGACTGTACCAACGGCTGCAGGCGGCGGGGGATCAGGACAACATCATTTTTTCCCCGCTGAGCGTGGCTGTGGCCCTGGGCATGGTGGAGCTGGGAGCCAGAGGGGCTTCACTGGAGGAGATACGGCAGGCTGTAGGATTCAGCCACCTGCTGCCAGGTGAGAGACACATTCATAAACAAAGGACACCGGCATCAGGGTCAGTGGACGGTGAAGGAAAAGGAGGTGAATCCAAATTCTGAAAGTGGAAAGTCTTTGGCAAAGGAAATGCAACACTCCACTGGTTTTACACATAAAGTTCAGTTCACTTGTCACAAGGAGCAGCCTGTAAAAACAGTTGTATATATCTTTAGTAGTTCTGGAGGGAGTCCCCCAACTTTAAGGAAGTGCTCCTTTACTGCTTTTAGTATGACAGCAGTTTTGTTTTACAATATATTTTTCCCAATCCTGTTATATTTGGTTAGTAATCAATAAGCACAAGCTGTCAAAATCCAGTTAACGTTCCCATTTTAAAGGTGTAGTAATACATTGTTTGTACCACGACACCTAGAAACCAAGGTAAATACATTTGTTATATATTCCAACTCGTGTTAGTGACCATGAGTTTCCATGACCCTGAAATCACAAAGCTAAGTGACATAAGAAAGGTGCTTTGTCAAATCTATATAAAATGAATGCATGTTCCACTTCCACTGTGAGAAAAGTATTTTTAAAACTGTGAGTTTTAATGTTTTAAATGTTTCCTCCGATATAAAAAGGTAGCATGCTTACTTATATGCCCATTTTCTCATTTATTTGTATTTTATATGCATAGAATTTGATTTCTCTTACTGTATTGTTTAACAACAAACTGTATGAATCTTAAAGTAACTAAAACCACTTTGTAGTACTCGGTATACACACCTACAGTATAAATGTGTGTTACTCCCTCTGTTCTCCAGGCATGGAGTTCTCTTTGCTCCAGAACCTGACAGCTGCTCTGTCGGACGATGATACCCACTACATGATACGATTTGCCAACAGCCTCTTCCTGCAGGAGGGCGTCACCTTTAACCCCGAGTTTCTGCATTTGATGAGGAAGTACTTCCGGGCTGATGTGGAGACGGTAGACTTCAGCGAATCGGCAGCCGTGGCCGACCAGATCAACAGCTGGGTGGAAAATCACACCGAGAGTGAGTGAGAGAGGGAGGAAGGAAGGGAAAGATACAGATGAAGGGAGGGCGATAACATGAATTCATAATCTACCATCTAAGCATACTGTAAAGTGTAAAATTATCAAAGGAGCTACATCATTGGTTTGTTTGATCACATCACAAACTAAACGTACTCTAAAATGTTCCTTCTCATCCTTGTGTGCGACTTCAGAAGCTGCATCACAGCAGGCGCTGTCCTCAGGCTAATGAAAACGAATGCAGATCTTAATGCGCTGTACTAATCACTCTCCCTCCAGGTAAAATCCGGGAGCTGCTGTCAGCCGAGGACTTCAGCAGCGTGACTCGTCTGACCCTGGTGAACGCCGTCTACTTCAGGGGGTCATGGAAAAACCAGTTCAGGCCAGAGAACACCAGAACCTTCTCCTTCAGCAAAGACGACGGCTCTGAAGTCCAGACTCTCATGATGTACCAGCAGGGAGACTTCTACTATGGCTAGGCCGAGCAGTTCTGCTGTGTGTGGGTGTGTGTGGGTGTGTGTGTGTGTACGGGTGTGTGCTTGCTGTGTCGCTGTGTGTGTGTGTGTGCGTCTTTAGAATTGTACTTGAACTTTTTCTGGAGACCTTGAATTTCTGCTCATATTTCCTGAGGTTATTTAAAATGTTAATCTTAGATCTAAAATATTCATATTTGGAGTGTTATTCCCAGGAAAGGCTCATCTTTTCTGCTCAGTGAGCTCTCTGCGGCTACAACTCTCTTCAATTGCACAAACTCCTCTGGTATATCTATTTGATTTAGTTATATATTTTGAAGGCTATTTTGTTAATGTCATACAATATTGGCTGTACTGTGACAGTCGGGTGGTGCTAAATTAGGTCTTGCTAAATATTGTCTGACAGTAGATAGAATTAACAACACTGTCTTCCCACTGATTTTGTACTTTTTTTTACCCCCTTCACACACCTGTCTGTTGGGTTCTGGGGGAAGTTTTATTAATGTCTGCTTCTAATTATATTATAGGATATCATATTCTGTCAGCTGTTGTACTGATTTTCAATTATTTTGAGTAATTTTAGCGTAGTAAAGTCACTGTGAATTTCCAAATCTCTCTGAAAAGACTTTTTGCTTCTCTCCAATTTGGTACTTAATCATTAAATCTTTAACAATCAGCATGCACACTACTGCATGCAGTTTTAGTTTCAATGGAAAAATCTTTCAAGGGCTCAAACGACTGAAACAATAAAATATTGCATTATTGTACATTTAAACAAACAAATAGTGAAAAATGTACAGCACACATTCCCAGAGCTCAAAGTGAAATCCTTACAGAGATATTTATTTTACATCGATGTAAAGCAGAGAAAAGCTAGAAATCCTCATATTTGAGGAACTGGAATTATTGCTTGAATCTTTTGGTTTAATATTATTTAAATGAGTAATGGACCATCAACATTTTTGTAGATTAACTGTTTTTGCACAAACTCTGCATGTTATCTTTTTGCCGTTTTTCTGCCCCCAAACCTGGTAAATGTGACGTTTTGGGTTTATTGTTATGAAGTTTTCTATATCTTTTAGGCTATTTTATCAACGTCATAATCTAGCTGTTTTTGAGTTAGGAGTACTACATGTCCAATATTGGTGTAGTTGTTCTTTTGTTGCCGAGCCACTGTTGAGGCCGCAAGAACTTGTTTGTCACAGAGCTCCCGCATACCTTGGTAAAAAGCTGTAACATCTGAATGTTCCCAGTCAGTCTTTTTTTGATTTAGTCATTTTTTCATCTGACGTACTGCCAAAGACAGTTACAACAGACTCTTACTGCACTGCTACTAAAATTGACGTGTTTGAGTTATTTTGGTGCAGTCTGAATGTGTGTTGTGAGACACTTGCATACACCTACATTCACAGGGCGCACACATACTGCACTCATCCTCGCACGCTCGGGATCAAGGAAATCTGTATATGTGTGAACTGGTGAGTGTGTTTTTGTGTGTGTGTGGTGTGCAGAACAGGGACAGGTCCTTTGGGAAAGGTTACGCTTGCTTTTTCATTTTGAAGCACAATCATATTGGTTAAGTAAAATGTTTTGTGAAGCCACACCCCGCTCTCTGCTGCAATGTTGCCTCACTCTGTATCAGCAGCAGCTCCGCAGAACGCCACTTGTGAGTTAATGAAGGTGGACAAGTCTTTATGTTGCAATTTTCCCTTTTAAGCAGCTTCAAAAGAAAATTCATGTGAAAAGATTGGGATAAAGTCTGGCAGTGTTAATTGCTTTATAATCTCCATCTCAAAAACCTGAGCAAGTCAGATAATCTTATGTTTAGATTTGAAATCTAGTTGGACTTGTTTTGAGTGTAAAAGGATTATCTCATCCTGACTAAGAAATACTGTCTCTCTTAATTCAAGTAAATGCTCATCTTCTTAAGAATTTTTATCTGTGGGTTTTGTTAAATTAGATACAAGGGATAAGTCTGTTAAAGATCCACCTCAAGGCTATGAAGATATCACTTCTTAGCCTCTGTAGTGTACATGTAAGAAGATTTCTGCTCTTACAGATGTTTGCGTGTGCAATCACATGTGCATTTGTCTCTGAATGTGTGTGGGTGGGTGAATTTGCGAGTGTGTATATGTACACACATATATAGGGATGTGTTTTTTCACTAGATCCTAGATAGTTTTACAGGGTTTTATTTCCTGCCTGGGGACAGTCAACTGCATGTCTGTGTAAAAAGGGCCCCGCACTGACAAACACAAACAAACACACCATCTTCGCCTAATTGAATTCTGGGATTACAACAAAGCACACTCAGTACAACAGGACTACATACAGTATGTAATAAAGTTTCACACCGACTGTTACCAAAGCCTTTAAAGTAAAACGTCAGTGGTTTTTAATTAGTGCATCAGGAAAATAACCACACGTGCCAGAATCAATACAGTCGATCGATGTGCTTCAACATGCTTACGTCAGTGTATGCTCCTCCAGTTCATAAACCCATTATGGTCTGGACACACTGCCTGAATGTGCGGGGGCAGCGTGTGCGTCGCGGAACCACTTGCTTTTTTTTCAGTGTCCATGTTAACAGGTTAGACCAGCAGCACAGCAGCACGTCTTGTCTCGCTTCACTAGAGAGTCATGGTCTCGCCTTTTTTCCCTGCAAGCCACGTGGTTCTCAGCAAAAATAGACTGAAAACGATCTGTTCATAGTCATATTGACATACCAGCAACATATACACCTTGCACTACAGTTTCAATGTCTATATATTTGTAGAATGTGTCAGAGATGTGAAAAAAGGCACCACCACGTGTGTGTGTGTGTGTGTGTATGCTTTCTTGCATATGTCTACATCTTTCAGTGCCTACATTTGTTTCCCACCAGGTGAGTTCAGCGACGGCTCGCAGGAAGCTGGTGGTGTGTACCAGGTGTTGGAGATGCCCTATGAAGGAGAGGACATGTCCATGATGATCGTTCTGCCTCGCCAAGAGGTACCGCTGGCTTCCCTGGAGCCCATCATCAAAGCACCATTGCTGGAGGAGTGGGCTAACAATGTCAAACGGCAGAAGGTGGAAGTCTACCTTCCTAGGTGAGAGATGACGCGCACAAACACATACACAAATACCCACAATTGTATACAAGCACACAAACATAAAGTGACTCTGTATCCAAATACCTCCACAGACAGTGAGCTCTCACCCTGCTCTACACCCCAATGCACACACCACAAGACTTAAAAACCAACTTTTTAGGCTATTAAACTCACTTGCACCTGCACTGCAAATATATTATATATATGAAACAACATAAATTTAGTACACTTTTGGCTAACTAATATATATGTCGTAATGTTAAAATGTAATTCGCCACCGCATAGTGATGGACCCTGAAATGGCTGCTCAACATAAGGTTGGCCTACCTACTAACCGTCCTATAACATTGAGACATGAACACACAGACAGATGTACAACCACTGTACACATGCATGAAACGCGATGACACCTTACCTTACACAATTATAGCCAATGCCAAAAAACAATAAGATGGGTAGGTTAGGGACATGTAGGGTTTCATGTCCACTTACTTACATTCATCTGTGACTCTGTTACCAGAAGGTCTCTGAATTACAATCCACCACAACCTTCTGGCCACTAACATTTGGCTGTTCATTGTATTATATTCTGACTTCACTGTTCAGGTTCAAAGTAGAGCAGAAGATCGACCTGAGGAGCACTCTGCAGGAGCTAGGAATAAAGAACATCTTCACCAACGATGCTGATCTCTCCGCCATGACAGGTAACACTCAGCTGTAACCACAGACACACACAGAGGGTGCAAAACACTGCAATATGTGACGCATGGTATTATATAAAACACACAGATGTAGACACAAATTGTGAGAGAAATGAACTCCTAGAAGGGTTCAGCATGAGAAGTTGATTCTATATTTCTGCTTCTTGGCTGCAGTGAAGTAGCCTCCAGTACTTTCTAAGGTAACCAAGGTAACTGGCATCGAGTGGGCAGGTCAGAGCTGTCACATCATTTGGTAAAAATAGATGGAGAGAGACAGATGTATACACAGAGACAGAGAAATGGAGACACATAAATATGCTAAGATTTGCATCTAAAGAAAAAGAAACTGGTCCCACAGACAGCCAAACAAAGTAACCACATATAACTATCAGCTGTAGTTTTATAGTGAAGAAGTAGATCGAACCAAATACGTTATAAACAAAAACAGTTAAAAAAAAAAATGTAAAAACCGAAAGACCCTTAATGCTCATTGACGATCCAGCCCGAAACTGCTTGTTCTTACTGGAGCTATTATTATGTGGTGAAACACAATCTGCCGGCTGTACTGGACTGTGCAGCACATCCTGTACTTGCTAAAACTAAAACAGCTCAGTACGTACTCAGAGGACATGGTCTATTCTGGCACGCAGGTAGATAAGAGAGGGTGTTTTAAAATGCTTTTAATCAAATCATCAGGATTTTCTGTCGTCGCTTTTTGGCGAATGGGACTGCACGATGTGACCCTGACTACTACTGATGTGTGTGTTTGTGTGTGTGCGTGTAACAGATGGTAAGGACCTGTATATTGGGAAGGCAGTGCAGAAGGCTTACCTGGAGGTGACTGAGGAGGGGGCAGAGGGAGCCGTTGGGTCAGGTAGGCTTCATCTTTTATTCTTTATCATAATCTGTTCATTAACAATAGCACATACAGAGCATTGTCTTTGTATGAGAGGGTCTCTGTGGTAAACTCAGGTCCACAAAACACTGCCAGCCTCTGTCAGACAATAACTGGGTCGTCTGCCCCCTCTTCTTCTCCCTCTCTCAGGAATGATCGCCCTGACCAGGACTCTGGTGCTGTACCCACAGGTCATGGCTGATCACCCATTCTTCTTTGTCATTAGAAACCGGAGGACAGGTGTGTGTGTGTGTGTGCGTATAAATGTACCTCTGAAATACATACGCATATGTGTGTTGTGACCTGACCCTCTATATGTCCCTTTCCTCTCCAGGGTCCATCCTCTTCATGGGCAGGGTCATGACCCCTGAAGTCATCGAGCCCAATGACCATGACTTTGACTCCATGTAACGTGGCGCGAGGTCACTCAATCTCAGCCAATCAGATCCTGACGTCATAAACACTACCTATCCTCTATCGCCATCTTCAGCTGTGTTTTATACTCTTGAAAACAAAAGACATAAACTGAATATTATACTACATATTATATATTGAAATATGACATACGACATATATTGTGACTGTGTTTTGATACTGGAAGCTTTAAACACTTGGATACAGACGTGCAGAAAGAGGAAGCTGTAAATATTCTCGAGCAAAGGATGGTTTGTACACGAGCGAGAAGAACACATGATATGTAATCCACGCACAACCCCTTTAAGTTCAGCAGCTTCGCACTCACTTGCGCTCACACACACACAGCATTGCACCAAAACAGTTTTCTCTACACTTCTTAAACACATATTTACTCTTTCTTACTCCAGATACAGTATGTGCACACTATAAGTTTCACACTTTAATTATAGCCCTGTACATTTGGCATTGTGTTCGATATAAACATATATATGCTCAGTATTTATTGCAGAATAAACATGTGCAAACATTTTGTCCTTATACAATGAATCTTAGTAATATATCCGCTCCAGACAGTATTCCAGTCATTTTTTACACTGTAGGCACATGGCTAATCTGCTGATGAACTAATTATGCCTTATCACATCTGATTAAGCCCCAGCTGGGCATCTCACAGGTGAGCAGAGGGGACTGCGTAACTAAGGTGGGTTGCTATAGAGACGGACTGGAGCATGCAGGCGCACTGAAAAAGATCTGCTGCACCGTTTTGGATGTACATACAGGGAGAAACAGTAACACCAGCTGTATTCAGTCTTTTACTCAATAAAAACATGAATGTGTTCCCATTAAAAAAAACCTGTGTCCTCTATGTGTGGAGGTTGTTTTTATCTGGCATTTTAAATGTAAGCTGTATGCCATTTATATGCACCATCCACAGCATTTAGGATGTCATTAATCTGAATGCTAACAGCTAATACAGCTTTCAAGTTCTTAAAGGATTTAGTGGAATTGAAAAACATGCAATGCTTCAAGAGTTTATGAAACCTGTTCATAAAAGGTAAATTATATATTTGGTGCCTGAATATGTAATAGACTTTATATAATGCCCTGTTAGGACTGAACAGCTAACCTGTTCAACCGTAACTCAGCTTCCCAGGGCAGACAATGTCCTGCCAAGGCATCTTGGAGTAGTTTCAGGACTGTGGCATCACCTAGCTACCACACACACACACACACACACACCCAAGGAAACAGATCATATCACTAGGCAAGCCAAGGATATACTGTGACCAAGGGCGAATGAGACCTGCATGTTGATTCTTGCAAATGTCACTTCATAAGGAAGACTGTTTACGCATATAAATAAATGAAGAGTCTGTAAGTTCCTGAGGTGCAAACATTTATTTTAACTCTGTTGAGGAAATATTCTGGCCATATCATTTTTAAATAAAGTGACATTGGCAGAAGGGTCCAAATGTTTAGTACATCTCACAACTTGTATGTTTAAACCTGATTTACACAATGTGCATAGCAGTATGTTACTTAAATAAATGTGTTTATGTCTCAACATTAAGGAGTAATTAAGAGTGAGATAAACAATTCACACCAAAATTAATTAAACATTCCGATCACAACCAAAACACCTATATTATTGCCTGCATGGCATTGGCACGCTGATAATAAAATCTTATAATTACATCCCCAACAGATGTTTCTGGTCATTATATAAGCGTCTTGTGCAGTGTGATAAACACAGAGCGCACAAAAAAAAAGACAAAAAGATGTGACTTTGATGTGACAACTGCATTCCCCATATCTTCAATTGATGTTTTAGGAACACACATTTTCTACAACACTGTCACTCAAGATGAAACAGACCGCAAGAGAACAAAACAAAGTGAAATCATTTATATGATAAATAGCAAAAGCAGATATACATGCAATGATAATACAACTACTGGATGTTAAAAGCTGTCTGTACCAAGTCAGAGGGAATCATTTCCACAGTCCCCTGCAGTGCCAGGGGTTTTCATTTACCTCTGTGAAATATCTAATAGCTTTTTCATCTCTTCAGTGTGCACAGTGTGTTTCACTGCTGCAATATCTTAAACACAATGAGCTGCATTGTTGAGGAACGACAGCCCATGGGTGTACGAAGTTATAATCTAAATTACTTTCACCAGCTGGTATGATAGCTCTGCCTTATGTCTTCATTGTGTGCCACGGAAAATCTAAATCAACCTTATCCCTCCTCCTCCTCCTCCATGACAACATCTAGAAAGACAGAAACAACAACAACAACAACAAAGAACCCCTCCACCTGTCCTTATGATAGCTGCTGGCTCAGCATATAGGATACAATTCAGAGCACAATTACTCAAGCACTGTTTAGGTATACTTTTGAGTATTCCAGGGACATTCTAGGTTTAATCCATCTAGTTAACCTGACATATCATTTCTAGTTTGCAAATGGAGATTTACATAGAAAACCTGTAAAAGCTCATTAAAGGTGACATATTGTATTAACCTGCCATACAGTGTATAAAGTAGTTATTGGACCAGCCAAAACATGTAAATGCTGCTTATGCATTATTCATAATTTACTCTGAAAGAGCCATTTCTCACTTTTGGGTGAGCTACAGGGGCCCTGAGTAAGGAGTTTAAGTTTGGCTTGGCATGGCCACCAGCAGGCTAACGTCCTATATTCAGTTACTGTCATTACATTACAGTCAATGTTCATTCAAACAATATAATAACCGTGTCTGTTATTCTGTTTGTGTCGTCCATAAAAGGAACATCTACTGCGCGAAAATCAGCCTAAATTTAATTTTCAATATATTTTCAGACACAATTTAGTGTTTTACAAAATAGAATAGAATCAATTAAATTCCAATTAGATGAACAAAGCTAATATGAGGAGAGAAAAAAACGTGGCCAACCATAAAAACCAGAGAAGATGGGGGAGGAGATTATGTGGCAAACATAAAAGAAAGACTGTTGTAAACGCGACTGATAAAATAACAGCACCTTGTATTTTATTGTGAGCCCCGTGGTCAGATTTACACTGAGGCTTACATAATTAAAGACAAAAGCCAGATCACAGATCGTCTCTTTGTGCCAACACAAAGCAAAGACGTTTTTAGAACATATCCCTGCTCTCCTTTATTTAAAGTAATTGAGCTGTCACAGTTCATTTGAACGCTGAATATTCATTTAGTCCGCAGAAGCTGGGAGGTATAGTTTCATTTCCACCTCTCCTTAGGTGCGAAACACCTCAACACTGTTGCCAGGCAACCCGCTGCTTAGCGACCGGGTCAGTGTCTCACCTGCAGCAGCAGCAGCGGTGGTGGAGGTGCA